TGACTTGGGATAGCGAAGTTTAAATGAATGCCCATTTCACCGTTCAATTTGTTTGTTTTGCCAATTTGGACGAAACGAACCAAAAAAAAAGACTTTCATTTGAATTTGAGAAACCTAAATTGATATAAGAAGCATGGGGGAGTCTAGTGTAAAAACGGCAGTCATGCCAAAGTCAGCACATTTCCTTTTTCCTTTGTTGCACCAATGACGGTGCGTGACAGGTCACAACATGTCAAAAGGAAATTCGTTTAACTCATTTATTGTTGATCTCCTTTCTTTATTTGCTTTTGCCTTTCTATGTTTGTTTTTTTTTATTATTATTATTTTTCCTTTTCTTTACTGGTTTGATTTCGAGGAAGCTGCGACCGGAGTAAGTCATAATTTGCGTCCCATTGGCAGAGCTCGGCAGTAACCCCTCATAACTGAGAATAAGACGAACTCATCCCAGCAAGTGAGAGAATAACATAGAGCTGCATTCAGAGAAAGGCGTCGTCAATCGTGACCCACTCTCTTTTACTTTGCTTAGCTTGTTTCTTTGTTTGTTCATCTACCGTCGCTTCTTAACGAATGTTTGTTTTTCTTGTTTTCTTTGTTTTTCCTTTGACAGACGCTGCCCTCGCACAGTGTCACTCCTGCATTGAAGCTGATGAAGCTTCTTGCTCTGCAAACCAGAAAAACCAAACCTGTGCGTCAGATCCACTCTCACTGGGAACCACTCACTGCGCTTCCGTTGCAATATCTTATTATGGAAATGAGACTGACATCCTAAATGACAAACTACATGAAGGCTTCATAAGAGGATGTATTGATTGCGGAGGTGAATCCATCTCAGCTTAATCTCCCCTGAGAGGCACTTTTAACTCACTAGAAACTCGATTTTGCGTTTTTCGTTCCTTACTCGAACCCAGTCTTCCTTAGTGTCTTGTGCCGCCGGTCATTAACTCTTTTAGTAAAGTTATAGCAAACGCAAAAGAAAGTGTGAGACATGCTTTAGCTCTCGTTCAGTGAATGCAGTCAAGTAGGAAGATGACATTAATGTTCGAACAATGTTACCTTTTCCCAAATGGTTTCTGGGTGATTCGGTGCCAAATCTCGCTAGAGAAGACGTTTCTTTCTTTTTTGTTTTGTTGTTTGTTCGAAGTAAATAGTAATAGTAGTCTTTATTTCTTCACAAGATAAAAATTGTTTATCTGATGCTACAGAGGGAAACGGTAAAAATTATTAAAATGGTTAAAAATAGTAAAAACGTAAAAAAAGTTCTAAACTTACAAAGCTACCTTGCATTTGAAAATTGGACGATTTTACTTAAAAATCTTTGAAAACTTTTGGGCAATGACAAGAAATGTTTCGAAAGCTTTGTTTCGTTTCCTTTTTCTTGGAGATTGAATTTGTAAGAGGTTGGAAATCTGAATTTGCCACTTTATTGAATATTTATTTGTCCTGTTCTTCTTGAAGACAAAAATGCAGCCTGTTATGCTCTCGAGGGTGCGCTCAAGGCTCAGAAAACATGGAGCGTACGGAACTGTCGAATTGAATGTTGCACTGGTAACAACTGTAACACGCAGATACCAAACCTACATACTGGCCGTGGTAAAAGAGTTTTTACACCAGAAGGTAATCAGATGGCAAAAAATCAGCAAATAACTTTGTTCTGACCCTTTTGTAAGGGTACAATCATGTATGTCATATAAGCGTTTTGAAATGTTTATTTTTCCGAGCAACTTAAGGCTCCTCTGTTTTCCCTGTATAACTAAACTTTCAGTCTCGCTGGCTAGCGTTGTGGACGACTTTAGAGGTTTAAGCGCGTCTGACTTTAATCTCATCGCTCAGAATGCCGTGACACATCCAGGTACTTTTCAAGTCTACCCGCCAGTGGCGGTAAATTTGAACGGTCCTCCGAGAAAAGATGGGAAACAAAGAGGAAAATTGCTGTCCATCGCCTACTTCGGCCTTAGTTTATCTGTTTTCATCACAAACTAGTTCCCCCGTAGCAATTTGCCAGCATTAGGATCTTATAGAAGAGAGTTCATAAATAAATTGATACTAAATTTTTTTCCGCGGTCTCCATAACCAATATCGAATATGCTTTTAAAAATGGTTATTTGCTGGTATAGAAGCTGATCTTCAGGTTGAATAATCCGATGAACTATTCCCGAAACTTCACAGTCAGCATCTGCAAAAGTTACTCCTATATTTCAGGAGGGAAAGGAAAGACGATCTGGTGCGAGGACTTCTGTAGAAGACACACTTGCAATCAATTTGATCGTAGGAACTGTTTAAACAAGACTTCACTGAACTTTTTTGCGACACGCATGATTCTGTCTTGCCGGTTTCTAACCGCCTGCATATACCTTCTATTTCTATTGAGGTTGTTACATTTCTCAATTTTTTTTTTCTTGTATGGTCCTACAAGCATGGAAGTAGACCACTATCCCATCAACCTGGTTCGTTCCAGACTTAGTTTTAATCCTTTGTCACTCAATATTTCCGCTTCCATACCGAAAGACTGCCAATAGTATGTTGCTATAACGTTAAGAAGAAAATATTTATCCCTCCGCATGATGTATGCCCCACTCATTCACAGATGCGAAATTCGATATTATCCGAGAAAGCTTGCTCGGTCTTGTTTTGACCACGAACGCCTTCTTAATTTTGACGGACCCGCTGGGGAAAAGGTGAAAATGACGAGGGAAAAACTTTACTTTGTAGTACGAAAATACACAAAATGGAAAGCCATGATATTATAGTTCAATATTTCGGTGGTACATTGTTAACTTTTTATACAGAGAGTCGGCAAGATGATATAACATCCAAAAATCGCACTCGATTTGAGTGGGCCGATGAAGTGGGCGTGGTCACGAAATTCAGTAAGAGACTATTTGTACCCCGTGAGTTTGATATGTTGTAATTAATCAAACAATCAACAGAGATTAAAACAGTAAGGAGGAGGAAACAAATACGATTCAATTTTTCAGCGTCTTAAAAAATACTTGTAAATTATTTAAAATCCTTACCTCTACTCGAGGTAATTGTCATCTCGACCGGTTCCATCTTACACAAAGTAAGCACCAAGTGTTTCTATTGATATTCAGTGTGGTTTCAGCGATTAACGATAAAAACACCCCTCTGAATTTCATTTGATAGGTTTGACTGTAACTCATTTTGAATATTACATACCGTCAACAGAAGAAAATTTAGTAAGAGTGCAGGGAAGTTGAAAACTGTTGTAAAATACAGTGTTATTGTAGCAAGCAGAGGTTTTAATCACCGAACTAGATTTATCTTTCGTTCTTTTTGTCCTAAAATGAGCTTTATCAAGCTAAACGATAATTTACAAAATAAAAATATGAACTCAATAAGGATCGGAGTTAAATAATCGTTTGCTCCTGTTTCCTTTATGTAACACTCGACCTTAGTTCCCGTAGCCAAGTGCTTCACAGTCCAAAGTTGCATTTTAGCGGAGTTGTCGATTTCTGTGGACGCTAATTTTGAATAAATTAGCGTTATTCCGCACAGAGAAACGTGTTTCTGAACTAGCAGCATTTCGCCAACACTTGGTTCACGGTTTAGTTAAAGACATATTTAAACAAAGATCTCTTACGTGAAGTAATTGCAGCCTCCTTTTCAACGAAATGGAAAGAGAGAAACCCTGAGATACGCTTTGTAAACAATCATTATCAGGATAGTTGACTATCCTGCCAAGTTATAACGCTATTATGGGAGCAATGCAACAATTTCAGGACTGCAATCCGCTTTTGTGGCACAGCAATATGGACGGTAAAATGATACAATATTAAATAAGCTGTCGATTGGATGTAAAATGCGAAACAATCGAGTTTGCGTGTGAATGTGTACATTTTCGAATAACTGACGGCATCGTCAAATCAGCTCATTTTATCCAACTTTAAAATTTGATTAAATCGCACTGAATCATTTCCCCAAAAAATCCTTTGGAGATCGAAAAGAACCACACTTTACCTTCCAAAAGCCAGATTTTCAGTCGATTATTTTGTATAGCACATAGTTAAATAAGTGGTTACTTTTGACCWATTTTTAATCTTGTTAGAAGAAGGTAGGATAAATTCAATTTCGTTGTGTAAATAAATGATTAAGAATCGCTCAAATTGCTGTCAAATTATGTATTGATGTTGTTTTTCGAGATTTGGTAGTTTTTATCGGTCCAAGCGTTTTCAATTCGTGGCGCGACGCTCCGAGATTCGTCTGAATTTTTGAGCTTCAAAAGTGGCATTTGGACGAATTTCAGCTTTTGTTGATTTTCTCGAAAGTAAATCCATATTCAACCAAACGAAGTATGCAGTGCTTTGTTTCACCATATTTTGAAAATGTTCGATTTTTGGCCACATTTCCTCTTCATTTGCAACACAAAGATATAGTCCTAATGTCCAAAAATCTGCAAATGTTTTGCATATGATATAATGAATAAGCCATCAGAGAGAAACTTCCACAAAAAGACTTTTTCTTGCCTATAAAGTTCCAGATCTCTGAGAATTCCAAGAGACACGTCCGCGCAAATGCAGGTGCTTGGTTTTGTACAAAGAGCTTTAACGATTTTCCAATGCGTGGCTAAGATTATCGCTGGTACGTTCTGCTCATTCCACACGTAGAGTTCAAAGAAACATGCAAAAAATTCTGTATATAATTTTTTTTCTTTATTTCTATTTTTTTTAAATTCTCCTTTATTCCTGTTTCTAAAAACACGGAGATCTGTTTTCTCTATAATTTTCTCTTTCTCGTATTCGTAATTGGTTGCAAAGCTCAACGTTAGAACGTTATCATAGTATAACGAAAACTCCTGAAATATTCTGAAAAATTGATAAACTGTTGGTAAAAAATATTTTGACGAAACATTTGTCAAAATATTTTTATGTATTTTGATAAAGCTCTAACATTGAACTTTGCAATCACTGTTTCTCCAAGTCTCTTCTCAAACATATTCACAATTTCCCGTTTATTTATATTACACTATTTGACTCTAGGTCCAAACTTGCATTTTTACACTGAACCGCTTAACTTGCGCAGTTTTTTATCAAACTCTATTTTGAATGAATAAGGGGGTCCGCATTAGGTAGCTACGTTATGCGAACCACACTCAAATAATATCGACTTTTTTCACAAAAAGTAATTTGGGAAAGTATGTCCTGTCAGCGAACTGATATAGCAGCTCATTTGAACAGTCGTACAGTTAGTAGAAGCTTGATTTTCAATCTACCAGGTCGTGGCCACGCCATAAGAACCTACACATTTCATATTGTTTTCGCATTAGTGCTATCTACGAGTTCATTTGCCCTCAGGATCCTTCCTATAAAGTCCAGGCTCTTAGAATACATGATTTTTTTTTTCTGAATCGTTACTCGCTATATGTCGTGTAACCGTCGTATGAGTTAACCGTTGAAAATTATCGGACAATCGATATCCTTAGTGGGGGCGGAGAGTTTTCCTTCTAAATTCCGTAGACTATCAGTAGTTCAGTTTTATTTATGCTGCGACATGCTCTGGCGTGTTCCTTCCATGTCTTGTTTTCTACTTGAATGTAAACCTTTTATAGCGCTGTGGAAGTTAAGGATGAAAAAAAAGAAAACTTAGCAATTTTTAACTAAAACTTTTTAACTAACTAAACACTTCAACATCTCCACATTTTTGCCCCACGGCACATATATGGTTTTGTATAACTGATTCACCTGAAATCATCACGACTCTGTTACGATCTACCGAAACATTTTCGGGCTTCATCAATAAATTTGTATTTCCGACCCTTTTCAAATTCTAAACAAAACAATAAGTTACGTCAAACCATTTTCCTTCATTTGAAATTGAACCTTGCCAACAGGGTAAAAACGTGTAAAAAATTATTTCCTGAATACTTGACTACAACATTTGACTGAGATGTCCTTATTTGTATTTAGTCTCGGGAAGTGGAGGCGAGGTTGATACTGAATCCCCCATTGATCTTCCATAAAGACCTTGTTATTAAGGTAATCCTTCTCAAGTCAGTTTTGTGACTGCACTGCTTTGAAGTTTTTTTTCCAAAAACACATAGAAATCGCATTCGACGTCATCAGATATTTTCTGGAAACTTCATCTGCGTAATTAACATGGTTAGCCTTACGGATAAGATCTACACGTAAGATCCTCCCCTGATTTCAAATATTTTCATGTTCTTTCTCGCTTCCTCATGGTAACTTATCAGTACTCACCTCCACAGACTTTCTCTTTCGTAACAGCCACGATCGTTTTCAAAGTCTTGAATGACCGGGCGGTTATGACAGCCCTGCGAGAACTCGCAATGCTAAGAAGCTCGCTTCTTTTCCGCATGAAACCGACTCCTACCACCACAATATGGACACCCCTTTTTTTCAACTCGGCGGCTTCCTTGGCTGTTATTGTTGGATTTCGTGAAATACCATCTGTCATCACCACTAAGAACTTTGGAATGTCTGCACGGGCGGTACCCCCATTTTCTTTTTCAACAAACAGTTGTTCTCTTGCCAGCTTCAAGGCCCGGTCGGTGTAGGTTGATCCTTTGGTCCATTCCATGGCGTCGATGGCTGCGTTAAGGTCATTCTTTGTATAGTGCTCTTCGAAGTTGAAAATTATCTTGGCCCGGGTGGAGAAGAGAATCAAACCCACGTGAACGTTAGTCTGCGACACTTTGAATCGTTGTAATACTGCCTTTATGAACTCTTTGGATCTTCTGAAGCCACTTAACTTCACACTCTTAGACGCATCAACCATAAAAGCAATGTCAGCTCGCTGACTACAGACTAAAACAAGAGAAAACTCCATAAAGATTGAGCCACAAAAACGGAAGTTATGTAAAACTCTTAATAAATTATGCAAATCAAGTGGTGAACACGATCCACTAAAAAAGCCCGCTCCGCCTGGATCTTGGCCTATTGGAAGAAGAGACACCAAGCACTCTTGACTCACCTCTGATCTTGCAAATGAAAGGCAGATGATGTAAGCAGTATTCATCCCTCCATTTTCCCCAATGCGGATCAGTAGTAATTACAGCACAGTCTTCTTCCCTGCCCCTATGGCGCCCTGAAGGTTCCCCTGGAACCCAGCGTTGAATCGCTAAGGATTTGCCATCAGTCCAATTGAACTGTCCTTCTTTATTTACGTCTGAAGCTCCTATCCACCATTTGGAGTAGCCATAGTAGTATCTGAGGAGGCGCAGTTTCATCTCGATGTATTTGTTCTCTTTTAACGTACGAATACTGGCCAAGTGGCCTCCCTCTACGTCACGACAGTATATTTCCGCTTCTGGCCACGTAAGCATCTCGTACTGAATGAAAAAGAACTTGTATATGAAAGTCCCCTGATCGAATTCTGAAATCGAGAAGGACCTCTTGACATTAGGAGAAGTCGAAAATGATCGAAATCGTGAAATGATTCAGGCCACTAAGTTTTTGCGATGATTTGAGATATTGTATTCAAGCTAATAACATTGATGTCTGTATTCGAGAATACGTCTTTCGAACCAATTTTTTTCCACAATGCTAAATTGCCGTTAAAAGAAAAACTCACCATAACCAAATCTTTTATCCAAGAGTCTCCTAGGGATACCTGCGCAATAAACAAAAAGACGCCGTTGATTACAGACAATCGGTAACCAGCATATACTTTCACGTTATTTGATTCAAACTTTGGACACAAACCCTCTCAACACCTACATCAAAAAAGATTGTAAAGAAAAACCTCCCGTGGACGCAAAGACATATCCAAAACCATTGTTTTTAAAAGATGAAATCAAATCAAAAGGTCAAAATATCTTTCCAAGAAGAGACCAGAAGGATTTTTTGCACTTGGTAGATCCAATAATGAGAAAACTCAAGGGCTTGGAATTTCAACATTTACGTCTTAACCCCATTCAGCTTAGAACCTCGTATCGATATTGACCTTGATACTCACCTTCAATTTTGCAGATGTAACCTTTCGGATCATAGCAGTCATCTTCCCTCCAATCTCCCAAGTCACCAGTGGACTTCATTGCAATACAGATTTCATATTCATTAAAGAGTTCCGTGTTGGCTTCGCCAGGTGCCCAGAACGCTGCGTCATATCTTCATAGAATGAAGAGTACAATGGAAGATAATTAAATTAATGAAATAACAGAGAGATTATATATTACCGTTGGCCCATCTCGCCTCATTTAGCTAGGTTCTCAAAGAAGACTGACAATCCCTTTTAAAACTCCATGTTTAACAAACGTGTTCCATCTGGTTTGTGTTCGGGTTCCCCTTATTTTTATTATATAGCGACCCGCTTTTTTCTTTCTCCTTGGGGTTGAAGGTACTTTCTTTGAAGGTACTTTCTTTTCTCTGAGAAGGCTACGTTGCCCTTTAAAGCGATATGTGCTTGGATCATTTAGACAGAATGCTCGCCTACTTAGTTTTGTTCTAATAGATGTTAATATACAACAGAGCTTCATCCTAAATGTAATTTGCATGAACATATGCCCTCCTCTCCGCTTCTCAAGGGGAAGGAACAAACACAGAGTCATACTAAGCGAAGATTGATGGGTTTAGTTATCTCTGGATCCAGAACTTAGAAATGAAGAAATCGACGCCAGTTAAGCGTGGTATGTACTCTTATCGACTGAGGCGCAGCATACTGTCTAAATGATCCGAAGCACGTATCGCTTCAAAGGGCAGCGTTGTCTGTACTCTTATCGATAAAGGCAAATTGGCCCCATTTGGGCCAATTTGCCAGTTGTGGTAAAATTGTAACTCGCCAATATTTCCGAGGCAGTTGTTGGGCACAACCAATTTTAAGTAAGAATCGCACTTTTATGCAATGCTGAAATTTAACCAACCTTAATGAACACTTCGGTAAAGAGGGAACGCCTAGCATTTAATTTATCACACCCCACTTACTGGAAAGTTTGTCCATCTACCCATTTGTAAGCACGTCCATCTTTATCTATTCCACCAAGCCAGAGCTGTTCTGGTTCCCTGGGGGAACTACTCAGAAGTTGAATTTTTTCATTCAAATATTGGTTTTCCGCCTCATTGGAAATGCTCGCCAAATGTCCGCCTTCATGCTCTCTGCATATTTCCTCGGCTTCGTACCACGTTCGGCTGTCATCGCTGGGTAGCACAATCTTGTATGTGTAGTCACCATTCTCGAACACTATGGTATGGGAAAAAGCTCGTTTTAACCATAATCATTATAGAATTACGTAAATGATTAACATGTAAATTTTGTTCTTTAAAAGTGATTGTTCATGTGACCGTTCTAAAATGCACGATTTAATAATTATTCTTTCAAATCGAGGTGAATAGTGGCTAAATATTTACCGAGCCGCGAAGCGGCAAGGCAATTCGCGAAAGCCACTATTCACCGAGATTGAAAAGAATAATTGTTTTAGTATATACACACGAAGTGATCTCGACAAAATTAAAACGAAGCCATTTAAAGGCAATTTCTGCTTCTAAAACTTAGCGAAACGCGAGTTTACGCCCGCTAATTTGTTTTTCATATTATCCACTCGCTCGGAGGTGTACATTGTTTATTAGCCCGAGATAGCGAACCAATCAGATTGCTTGAAACGCCAAGATCACTGCGTGTGTATATACTAATTTTGTTTTTCACCGCTTTAGGTTTCGTTGTATCCCCTTTCCATGTTGTGTATACATATAATTATTAAATCAAGGAATCAAAGAAGCACTGTCTTTGTTTTCCCTTGTTTTGTTTTGTCTTGTTTTGGTTTATTTGTTTGTTTGTTTGTTTGTTTGTTTGTTTTTCCGTGTCACAATCTCGCAATGAGTTAAAAGTATGGGCTCCGAATTCTGTTAAACCAAGAATTTGAAAATTGTCCGGCTGGGGACTTATAAATCGATTATCTACTAGCAAAATATATATGTTTGGACGTTCCGCCCAGAAAAAAAACCTCAGGAGAACAATTGATTTCATAAATCGTGGAGCGCTTTCAATTAATTTAATTTTCAATTTCAATTTAAGGAAGGACTCAAAATTTTCAATTATTTTAATTTTCAATTTCAATTTAAGGAAGGACTCCAAATTTTTCTTTTTTTGTTCTCTAATTTGTTTTAGACATTGTTTTGATTCGATATTTCGAGTACATCGTGCAGTAACAGATGTTGTTTGCTCCAGACTAACCAGCTCAGCTAAGCTGTTTTGCTCACAAAAACTACACAAGATTTATCTAGTAGAATTTGACAGAGAAGTAGCCAAATAAACAATTAAATGTTGACAGTCATTCTGGCCTCGTAACATTTACTTGATGAGGGGTTTGAAAATAAATGTGTTTTATGTTATCTCAGTGCCATACCTCCAGGCGGATAGATAAAACGATTTTGAGATAAATGCTACCAGCGACGTTGACCCTTATCTGAGATTTTCTGGGGACTTGCAGAGGGGATATTTATCTTTGGTCGGAATACTAGGATTTTTTTAAATGTGTGGGTATTTGTTATAATAATGACTTAGCTTATTTTAAAATACTGTTGGGAGCTTTTAGCCTTTAGAATCATTTACGCTATTTTTAACATTTGCCCGAAGTCTATGTTGAAAAGGTCCTTGGCCTTAACATGTTTCAAATTGTCAAGACCTTTTACTGTTTCAAGGTGTTGAAAATTATACATGCAAAGCAATCTTTGTTATCGGAAGCTTGGAACGTAATTTGTAACCTGTATGATTTAGCTAAACCAGTTGCGTAATAGTTGAAAGAGAAAAATAACGCTCCTACCCCGGAAGTAGAAAGATGCTTTATGGCGCGAAAGGAATTTTACACATACCTTAAACCATGAAATAGTTATCACAAGGATGACATAGCTTTCATTGTGATGCCAAGAGTTTTCTTCTCTGGTCTGCAAAAACTATTACGTAACGCTTTTTTCAGGGAGCAGTTTTCAAAGCACTAACATTTTTCAGCAGATCGATGTAAATTAACTTATCTTGATAAAGGTAATAAATCTTTAACCTTTAAATGATTTTCCAGAAAAGCTTTGTTGCATAGTAGAGTTAGGAGAGAATTTTCCTCGGAATCTCTCGTTTGGGAACTCTTTCTATTAGGATTTTTGGAAAGTCTCCCGCGGTCCAAACGATTGTTCTAATGCGCGTGTACTGCAATACGAACGCGTGGTTCTCCTAGTATAATGATCCGTAACATTTGGCAGTTATGATGAAGTCAGATGAAATTCAGTAAATATCTTGTAAGTGATGGAGTTTTTCATATTTTCTCTGTACACAGTGCGATGATAGCAGCAGGATTCCTACTGTGGCCCAGGTTTTTTGTACACTTAGAATTTTTCTATTTTCGTAACGATATCCTCTTAAGATACAATGAAATATATGAAGTTCATATATTTTGAACCGCGGTATTAGATACATATGATGTACGATCCTCGCAGTAGATAGCGCTATTTAAGCAACAGCGAAAATCAGGCCTGTACGGGATTCGAACCACTGACCTCTGCGATACTAGTGCAGCGCTCTACCAATTGAGTTAACAAGCCAACTGGGAGCAGGCCGTTAAGTTGATTCGTTATAAACCCGTGAAAGTGATAAATGAGATACAATGAAATATATGAAGTTCATATATTTTGCTATTGCTTAAATAGCGCTATCTACTGCGAGGATCGTACATCATATGTATCTAATACCGCAGTTCAAAATATATGAACTTCATATATTTCATTATATCTCATATATCACTTTCACGGGTTTATTACGAATCAATTTAACGGCCTGTTCCCAGTTGGCTTGTTAGCTCAATTGGTAGAGCGCTGCACTAGTATCGCAGAGGTCAGTGGTTCGAATCCCGTACAGGCCTGATTTTTTTCAGGTCTGATTTTCGCTATTGCTTAAATAGCGCTATCTACTGCGAGGATCGTACATCATAGATCTCCTCTTAGTTCGAAAAATTGCGCGAAAATTATACCTAAACATTTTCTCGTCTAACGTATCACCGTAGATTACCTGCACTAGTAACGTATCATCAAAGAGAATATCCGTCCTTTTTAAGTCGAAATGTCTTGGTGAATAAAGAAATAAATCTTTAGTACGATCGTCGAGTAAGGAAAGATGTTAATTATTTGCCAATTTGTGTCAACACTTGAATTAAAGTTCAAAACGTTCCCACTCTCGCAGTCTCAAATAGATTAACAGGAAAACAACGATCAATTTACCAGAAATTAGAGAAAGCTCCTCTTCTTTCAACTGCAGAACTGCATTCGTTTTACTTTGAATCCTCTTTCACTCGTTTACACTGTTTACACTTTCTCTCTTCTTAAAAGCAAGTGTTTGTATTCCGTCTCATTGCCCAAATTGTCGCAGTGGGAATTTTGCAGTCAAAACGATTGAAATCCTACATCGAGGCGTGGAAATCTCTTTTGAGATACTATGCTCACAGCTATACGCAAACGGTTCTAATTAGCCTAACTTTTAGGAAACTGTAAACGTGAGCAGCATCAACAACTACATACAGCTCGCAATCCGTGATAATTTTGGGCTTGAGAGCCATAGGAGAACAAATTTGAGCCAAGACGCTGATAACTCAACTTATTTAGACTTTTCCCCCGTTTAATTTGAGGTTAAAAAGTAATTCAGTGAATTAAATAACCGTTTGTTTTTTTTTAGGATAAAATAATGAGAAATAAGTCCTACTTACGAAATCCTTTGCTTCCAGCCGAGACTAAAGAACAAAAGCAAACTAAAAGGAGTGTAGGGATGACCAAAGTCAACGAGTTCATCTTCTCTTACTCAGTCAATCACCTGAAAACGTGACTTGCTGATAACTTCGTGGCGAGGACTTACTTCTATCGATCAATACCAGGCATTCAAATAGCTTTTCACTGCCATCACCAGACGCAAGATGATCCTTTGAACGAAACGTGTCTATAAATCTGGCAGGCACAGTTTCGTCACCTTTATTGAGTTAACGTTAAGTGCCCACTTAGGAAAGTATTCTTAAGATGTTTTCCGAGGCATGGAAATTAAATATGACGTTATTTTTGGAACGCTTTTAAGTAAGTCCGCACTTTCTCATCAATATGACAAGCCAGATCATATCTATATCGGCCTCTCGATGTTTTAGTTCCTTTGAAAGCAGAAGCCGTTGTTTATCTTGATCTTTTCAGACATAAACATTTGTTGATCTGCTTATCATCATTGCACAATGTAAATCACACAGTGGGTTCGTTTTGGTGAAAATTTTTTCGTAGGGTGTAGTCTAAGATGTCAGATTTGGTAATTTGCACCAGATAGACGTTCCTAAACTTTTAACAAGGCAGGCTGGTTCAGACTGCCTTGTGCCCGAGTTGTTTGTTTTAAAATTTGCTTCTTCGAAATCTCGCGACACCACGTCTGAAATGGTGGATCTCCCGTTGTGACCCTTCCATTTGAGTAAACTGGTTACTGTTTAGTTTCACCAAATTGAAAAGTTTGAAAATATATAAGACCTGTTCTGTACGTGTGTATGTTCTGCAGTGGTTGCAAATCCAGCGGGCAAAGGTTACCTTGAAACATTATTCAAAAAGGCTTTAATTGCTGACGTTTTTGGAAAGAAAGACCGATGAAATGTCAACAAATTTAAGAAACACATCGCTTTTTAAAAAACCATGGGGTAACGTGATATTAAAGTAAGAGGTGATCTGAACTCTTTTAGACAATCTTCATTGTCTAAGGAATATTTTGCCAGATGTTAGCAGCCCCAGAAAGCTTTGAACTGATCACTGTTGTTGTTGTTGTTCTCTATCAAAAGCCGCGAGCCTTGATTTGCTACCTAAGTCCAGCTGTGCGAGCACATATTTTAGAATGATTAACGAACTCTCATTGATTTGTTCTAGCTTTGTTTCTTTACAGTTAGTTGTGGTTTCAAGACGGGAGCACCCTTGATCGTTCAAGCGATAATTTCTTATGGTTTAGTAAAAATGGTTGCATACAGCTAACATCCAAAGCCATGCAAGACTCTCCAGCCACATAAAGTTACCATTAGACAAGAGAGTTATTTTCCATGATGTTAGAACGCTTTGTTTCATTTGTCTTATTCAGTTGGGCTGACCTCATTCCGGAAAACCATATGTTATACCCTGAAAAAATGTTTGTTATTAGAAACTTGGAGAGGAAGGGGCAAAAAAAAACAAGAGTTTAATTACAAGAACATAGACGAGTCTATCATCAATAAAAGGGAATCGTACACGTTACATCTACACAGACCACCATGACACTAATACGATTGTCGGTTCAATTCATAAAGAAAATACTTGAAGTCAATAGAGTTCTACTTGTCCTCGGTAATAGAAGCTTCAATTATCACACATTAACTTATCTCTAAATTGCATCGGTCAAAAAAAGTGAAATCTCTTGCTTTATCTAAAAAAGGACGCTGTCAGGAAGAGACGAGCTTTTTGAAAAAACGAAAAAGAATTTTTCAGGGTTGGTATTTGTAAACTTTCTCTCAAAGAATCCACGGTACATCTTGCACCACCCGTTGTATCATGCTGCCCAAGAACAATATTTGTTGCTCCAAGCTTTCCAGGTGTTGTATTTGGGGGAGCGCCTTTAAACTTAAACTGGAGCCGCCGCAACATATACTTGGAGCTTGATAACAATAAGCTATTTTAGTTAGCTGTCTTGTTTAGTTGTAAACCCTTTGGTCCACCACTTCCCTACTAGAAAACATGAGAGTCATATTTTGGTCACGAGAGAAAATTAAACACTGAGAATTGCAGAGAAGCCATTTCGTGAGTAAAGATTACTCTGTTCTATTGTGTGCGTTGAATCTCTAACCCGTCCCAAGGTCTAGTGAGAACGTGGGATGCAATTTCACTATCCGTGAATGCCTAAAGTTATCACCTGACCATAAGATGTAAAGTCCTCAAGTGAATAATAGTCGTTTTTCCCTAACTAACCTGCTCAAGAGGTATTAGGGTAACTACTTGTTATCGGGAAGGGAATTTTTTGTCTTTTGCTTTAGTTCTTTTTGACTGTAAAATTTGGAAGTCATGTGGCGAAAATGGAAACATTATCATGTTCCCTTTTTAAATTTGCACTGCAAGACTCACACTGACACATTCTACCATAGAAAAAGCCGGTAGGCGGCCCGGTATCAAGTTGCCTTCTCTCTTTTGTGCCATGTTAATGACAGAAAGATATTTTTAGGGCATACAACATTGTGACGTTGGTAGGCCATTTTGTTAAAGTTATAAACAAGTTAAAAAAGGAAACTCCCACATCATGAAGTAATTTTAAATTTCTGCGCAGGCAGATGTTTACGCGTTAGACATGAAGCGGTTGTAATCATTCTAAGGCGTAAAAGCAAACGGCTGTAATATTCTTAAAACGCAAACACCAACCATCAATTCGTAGAGGAGACAGTCAGAACAGTTTGCTGAAACCCGAAAACTAAAACTCCATCAAAACACAGCATATATATGGGAAATGTGGTCCCGATATTGATTGAAAAAAAAAAAAAAGGAATGTGGCAGAAATGACAGCATGTGAAAAAAAGTCTTCATGTGAAATTGTGCTTTGTTAATCCCGTTCCAATTTCTAACAGTATATAGACAAGTCTATCTATACCTCAGTCATTTATCTGGGAAGACTACGAGACACTTTGTGCTAAACTTGAAATTTTGAGGGAACAGTTACTTCATTGACTATTTTAAGTTATAATTTATTAACTTCAGAAACATTACAAGATTTCAGAGCGTAGTAAGCGCGAACAAGAAGGGTTTGAATTCGGGCGTTTGTCAGCGTGTCGCAAGGTAACAGAAAACCAATTACGGATGTTCGATCTACTTGCGCCATTGACGTCAAAGAACTTTATTATTTTATTTTTATCAGAAGTGTGGGGACAGGAAGGGCAGATCTGTTTAGCTATCAAGATGTTTGTGATTAATTTGGTTTTGGAAATTTCTCGATGAAAAAGTGAACGGTCTACAAAAGTCTTGTGAAAACGCAAGGTCACGTGAATTTACACGTCAAAGGCTTCTCTCTTTCATCAAACATGTACCTTAAGCTATACAATACTACTACTAATAATAATAATTTATTTCTCATAGAACGCTATTTACAATGACAGATCAATAGCGCTTTACAATTAATATCTCTAAATATTAATATCTCAACTAATTAAAAAATAATTACATATTACAGTTAAATTGGCTTTATAAAATTCATAACTTAACCGCTATTGAAAGGATTGCCTAAAAAGAAAAGTCTTAATTGAAAAATTTCTACAGATCGAATATTGCGTAATTGCAATGGCAGCTCATTCCATGAATGCAGTGTAGCTGCCTGAAATGCACGTTTACCCAGGGTTGCCAGCATTTTACCTCTTGGTGGCTCTAATAAAATAGCTGAGTTAGATCTAAGATTGTACAAGGACTTGCGTTTGATAACTAAAAGATTGCTAATATATGCGGGTGCGAGGCCATGAATGGCTTTAAAAATATAATAATACCCTATAAATACCCTATTAATAATACATTAATACCCTATAAATAATACCCTATAAAGATTATTGACCTACGAGACAATTTAATCCAGCTCACGACACAATTTCTATTTGAAGCTTATAAAACAATTTTAGCTGGTTTAGCCTCATCACCTCCAATGTGCTCAGGCTGGCTTTCAAGAGGATGAGTTTTCTTAGCTTTAACTTCGCCACGTGTCGTTATTTCCTCTTATTTTCAATAGTAATTGTCTCGTTCTTTCTTTAGAAACTCTCTCTCAGACTAGAGTCTGAGAATGACTGATCAAGAGCTTTGAAAGTTGCCAGGTCATTCAAAACTTTAAGGATTGCTACACTATGGTCAGTGAAAAAAATACCATACTGCGTAATCCAGTTAAAACAAGAATTAAGAAAATAAGGTTCTAAATGTTAATCTTCATTCCTTTTTGATGTCGTCATTTTATTTCTTGTTACAGCTCCTAGCTGTTTTTACAAAAAACTGCTGATACAATATATTCATGATCCTTTCTTTTGTATCGAATAAATCAAGTTAGTTCAATGATTTTTTCAGTACAACAAAGAGAAGCGAGGGTGGTTTGAGATTTGTGAAAGAAAGGTTTGAAAACACTGCTACTATTCTAATCATTCAAGAGCTATCTGTGAAGCAATGCTAGAAAATTTCTCCACCGTATAAAAGTACTCAGTCAAAACTAAGAAAATTACTTTGGTGGGTTCCACTAGTTTCCAGTTTTCCTGTTTCCTGTATTTTATGGCATTTATCAAAACTCCAACTTTAGGGATTAGTGAAAGTCACGCCACTTCTTTCTTGCTTAAATTCGAAACTATAAACTCACTTCTTTATTATCTTATTATGACTGAAACTGAAAAAAGAATAGGGCGTTTCTCTTCAAAAAAAGTGTAATGTATTTTGGTCTCTAATTACTACGCATGTGATGGGCTCGCTGTATGACTTGGAAAGTGATTTCTGATGCTAATATAGTCACGCCTCGCTTTGATGCCGTAAGAATGAAGAATAGAGTTTATTACAAATAAAGTTTTTTACTGCATCAGCTCATAAGGCCTTGCTAGAAAATATAAATGGATAATATTTACGATGAGCCAAATCTAGAACCAGTTGTAGGTGACTTAGCTCTCGCCTTCCTTAACATTCACCATAGTCAGAGGCGGATACAGGATTTTTGTGAGGAGAGGGTGCACCACTAAAGAATGGCGTAACTGACTGGTGACCGGACGTAAACAAATTGTAATAGCGAATACGAAGAAGACTTTTGCCTAGGCAATAACATAATATGAACTGCTGAGAATACATATCAAACGATACAGTAGAATACCACTTGTATTAGAAAGCCGTAGGTCATCTCAGGCGAGGGGGGTGCGCACCCCCTGCACCCTCCCCCTAGATT